ATCAAATTTCAACGAAGGGTAAAGAAAAGATGATCGAGTATAATGTTGGTGATGATTGGTACGATGAGTGGATGGAAGAAAATGGGATAGTAAACAACCCAGAGATTGAAGAGACGCCACACTCCAGTAATGATGATAGCTCATGCTATGGAGTGAGTTTAAACTTTGCCCATCAACTGAATAACGCATCAATTAACTCTTTAATTAGAAAGAGGTGGCTGTTTGATACAGGGGCTGATATTAATGCCACTAACAACCTAAAGAATTTTGTCAAGGAGTCTGTAAGGAACTTAAGACCACGGGAGGTGGCAATAAGGACAGGCAGTGGAGTTATTTATCCAGAGAAAATAGGCGAAGTATGCCTCAAGGTCAGAAATTCAAAAAATAAAGCGAGAAGGCTCAGATTAAAGAATGTCTTTTATGTTAAGAATCTTCCCGTAAACATTATAAGCGGCGAATTGTTTTACAGAAGTGGATGCTCATTACAAGGTGAAAAGCTTGTTGACAGTAATGGAAGTATTATATCTTTAATAAACGTCAATAAACGAGGATTTTTTCTCTGGCTTTCTGGAGAAGATGAACCAATGAAACATATCAAATCAGGATTCCCGTGCCAATTAGACAAAGAACACAACAGTAAAAATTCAAAAATTCCCTCTGACGAAACCATTAGAAACCTAACCTTGTGGCATCGAAGATTATGCCACCCAAGCGCAGATAGGTTGCGGTGGACAATTAAAAATACTACTGGCATAAACCTAACCCCGAGTGATGTTATCAATATACCATGTGAGGCTTGTGATCTAGGTAAATCTGTAAAATACACTACCAATGAGAGACGACGACGAGCTGAATACGTCGGAGAAGGATGGCACTGTGACTTGGGATCGAGCAACCCTAAAACCATGGATGGCAATAGTTACTACTGTTTAACGACGGATGATCTATCTAGATACCGTTTCCTCAAGCCACTGAAGACCAAAAAGGATGCGGCAGTTGAGTTGATGAACATCCTGAGAAATATTAACGCTGAACTGCAGCTTGAAGGGAGAAGAGTCAGGTGGATTACAATTGACGGAGGCAGAGATTGGGGCATGTCGAGATTTGAGGAATTCGCTGCAGACCAAGGTATAGATATCATTGTGTCCGCCCCAGACAATCAGCATCAGAACGGAGTGTCAGAGAGAGGAATTAGGTTCATACAGGACGCTGCCCGATGCTGCACAATTCAAACAAAAATACCATCGGTATTTTGGGACAAAATAATGGAGACAACATGCTATACACTCAATATGACATCTCAATCTCCAGTCGATCAGCACAAGACCCCATATGAAGTATTCTGGTCAGCTATGAAAGGCAGGCCGATTAAGCCAGACGTCAGTCACCTCTTAATTCCCGGATCAAGATGCATAACACATGTAGAGAAGTCGCGCAGAATTGCAGGAGAAAAGCTAGACCCCAGGGGTGCAAGGAGTGTGTTTCTCGGATACAAGGGACGTACAAACAAACTTGTATGGATATTGGGCGGTGGGAGATTCTTAGTCTCACCAAATGTTTTAGCATACGAGAACGTTGGTAAAAATTTGGGTTGGCCAACAGAACCCCAAGAAGTAGTGAGGTCATTGCCAACCAGCGTCCAACGTCGTTTGAGAGCTAGGAAAACCAACTATGCCAGAGAAGAGGACTACAATAGGACACGAAGTGTATCACCGCCACATGAACCTAAAGGACCAGGTCGGCCAAAGAAGACAATTAGAAGACCTTTTGACGAAGCACCATTGTTCGAAAGTCAAACAAGGAACAAGAACATGAGCCCAAGCATAAACAACGAAGATGAACGCCCAACAGAGGAGGACTCAGATCACGAGGAAGAAATTGGACAAAGTGCCCATTGCCTCATAGAAAAATCAATCAAGAGGCAACTCCATAACCTACATGGAGATGGAGACGACATGTTTAGGCTATTAGCTAACTCTTCATCTGTCGCTAAACAAATCGTATCACCAGATGAACCTAACCTGCAGGAAGCAATGAGTAGCTCCGAGAAAAACGAGTGGCTAAAGGCTATCTTTACTGAAATAAAGGGGTGTGTGGATAGGAAAACATTTCAGTTTGTTCCAAAAAATTCAGCCAAACAGAATGGCCAAATTATCTCAGCGAAATGGGTGCTTAAGAAAAAGTACAAATCAAATATGGAACTGGACAAATTTAAGGCTAGAGTTGTAGCAAGAGGATTTTTACAAAAGAAGGGTATTGATTTCAATGAAACAACAGCTTCTACGGCTAGATCAGCTAGTTGGAGAGTATTGATGGCATTGGCAGCCATAAATGAATGGCACATTCTGCAAGCTGACTTTATATCAGCTTACTTAGCAGGAGACTTAAAGGAAGTCATTTATATGCGACAGTTTCCTTACCTCAAAGAATTTTTTAATTCAAACCCAGATCTAAGTAAGGCATCAGGATATACAGAGGAAAGTATAATCCAACTACAAAGGCCACTGTACGGATTAAAACAATCCGGAGCGTGTTGGCAAGATAAAGTTAAATCATTAATGCATACTCGAGGGTTTAAAGCGTTGGCAGCCGACGACGCAATTTACTTTAATAAAGATAGTGGAGTAATAGTAGCGTCGTACGTTGACGACTTTCTATTAATAGGGCCTGATAAAAGTAAAATCAGTGCATTAACAAAATCCTTGAATAAATCAGTGCCACTGAATGACTTGGGAGAAGCTTCATGGTTTTTAGGAGTCAGAGTCCAAAGATCATCACCCACAGGGAGTGTGAGGTTAGACCAAAAACAATACATCGACAGGTCAATGATAGAACTGGAATTACAGAGTCAACGGCCCGTACCAACACCTATGTCAGTTGCTAGTAGGCTAGACATGAAGAAATATAACGGAAAAGCCTCGAGCACAGAGCTTTATAATTACCAGAGGTTAATAGGAAAATACAACTTTTCGGCATGCATGACCCGATGCGACACTTCACAAGCTATGTCTCAATTAGCGAGATACATGTGTAATCCTTCTCCCCATCACCACAAGCATGCGCTGAGAGTAGCCCAATATTTGTCTGGTAGTGCAAACAAGGGCTTGGAGTATACCAAAGATCACAGACACGTGAATGAATTCGGGAAATATGGATTGCATTGTGCTGTGGACGCTAGCTTTGCAGATGACTTTGAATCATCTAAATCAACAACAGGCTATGTTATATTTATGGGAGGAAGCCCAGTCATTTGGAGGTCAAAACTACAGACAACAGTATCTACACTGACTTGCGAAGCCGAGTATGCAGCCATCTTCGAAGCAACAAAAGATTGCGCTTGGATAAGGACATTCCTGGAAGAACTGGGGCAAATGCCATCCGGACCCATCCCTGTCCTTGAAGACAACAACGGAGCAATCAAATGGGCTAACAGTACAGGAATCAGCTCTGGCCGAAGACATGTTCGTGTAGAGTACAACTACGCCACACAGGAAGTTCGCGACAAGAACATTACCATAAGGAAAGTGGAGTCAAAATTGAACCCAGCGGACGGCTTGACTAAACCGCTTAACAATGCGGCATTTAACGAGTTTGTTGAAAGACTTGGAATGGTAGATTGATTAATTAGCGGATTCAGGTTTAGGGGGCGTGTAAAAGTGCAAGGGAAATAATAATTGTGTAAACCTTAATCCTTGCATGTCCTATGTTAGCCCTAATAAGCGAGCGACGCTAAATGGGCTGATTTATGGGGGAACACTCTATACTTGGAATATGTGTAACTTTTGTATACTTAGATTTATATATACCGAGTTAGGGTAATATAACTTCACCTTTTGAGAAAGGTTTTAATAAGTTTAGTTTAATTTATCGTGCCAAGCTTACACCCTCCATCCAATGAAGATGACACGCATGGAGGACATCTAGAATACAAGTTCCTCCATTCTCCAGCAAAGCCCATCCGGTGCCTGACTTTTCCAAATACGTGACTCAGGCTAGTTACATCGGGTCTTTATTTTTATTTTTTTGCATCAGATTTTATTTGCATATGCAGCTATCTAGCTATGACACAATATCAAAGAAAAGTACAGAAAAGACGACTCAATTTAAAGGAAAAGCACTCATGCCTCGGACTTCATTTGCAAGTACCACTGCGAAGTTATAGTGGCTTTTTCTTCACCCGAAGTCAACCCTCATCCGTGAAAACCCACCCAGTGGAACGTCTCAAAAACCCTGAGTTATTCAGACATGCCTCCATCTTTCAACTTTTTTCCGCGCAAAATGTGGTCTTAAGTGTCTCCTTCCCAAGTAAAGTAAGTGCCCAGGCTACTCAGACTATACCAGAGAAAACCACCAGGAGGCGGATCACAACACCTTCCATCTATTGTTTGTTTTTATAGTGTCAAGTTACATCGGGTCGAATAGGTAGGAACGCATTCACCATGATCCTAAGACCATGTATTAAGGGAAAACCTCAATAATTCCTCCTAATCGCCGACACCATAATTCTCTAGTAACGGAAGATAATTTATTTCGAAGGCGCGTCCCAAGGTCTCTAAGCTGTCGCAAAACCAATAAAGTTTCCCATTTTGAGCAATGATAGGATTTCAGACTCTGTAGATACTCAAAATACATCGTGTGGATAAGTCGGTCAGCTCATCTATACTTACCCTACTCTACAAGAATGACATTATGGTCAAATTCATGCTAGCTCTCTTTCTACTGATTTCGGATGGCAGGCGTCATTCAAATTGAAGAAGTATTCATAGTTATTTTGCAGATTTTTTCAAGGTGGTTTGATCAGGCCAGCTCTAATGCCGTTCATCCTCTTATATAGAAATACAAGAAGCGGTGGGCCTTGAATGGGTGCAAGCTTAGTCACAGAAGCTATAGTGTTTCAATACCATAAAGTATTATAATGGACCGTCAAACTCCTTCCAAACAATCCTGCCAACGATTTAATCCTACAATGATAACTCCGTAGAAGGCCTGTGTAAGCTAATCTACACTCCAGATTCCTTTGATTTCTCTATCATCATTGCCTCGATTTGAATCTGAACTTGCTCCTCATTCCCTCCTGCCTTGGTGCGATCCGAATATAAACGCTCATCACATTCATCCTCACTACTATCACTTCCTTGTAAACTATCGAGATTGTTTTGGCGACTTCGTGTCATCTAATTAGTTAGCAGTATTGCGATTCAATCAAAGAGCTATTCATACCCATGAACGGACCCCACCGATTAAACCTAAGCTATATCCTGTAGCGAAATCGCTTCCAGGACCTGTACTGTCAGTTCTTTGTATCTCTAAACGTCGATTAGGGGTAGAGAGGGCAGTTGAGTTCGGAAGTGATCCAGTTCGGGATGATTCGTCATAGCTAACCAGCCTGGCAGGACTACCAGGTCGGCTAGCTTGCCAAAACTGTCTTAATTCTTTTCCCAGCTCTTGGCCTGTAGTTGTCCAGTTAGTCCTAATAGCATCTCTCATTTCACAAACATGACGCTTAAGATCAAGTTCGTTCTTTTTCAGCCATGAGACATTGAGTTCCTGACGAGAAGTTCCGCGCTTAAATTGTCGAGTAATATACTTTTCATAATCTCGGACGATTCTAGCACAATCAGCCCCTACTCATTTTATTCGAATTTTGATTAGCTTACTTGGTGATAATACCTGTAGTACTGACTCCTTCTGTTCGTTGCGTCACCAAAAACTTGCCAGCCTCTTTAATTGGCTTGTAGATATCATCACCCTCATCTGCCACATATGGCAGATCGTCGTGTGCAACATAGTCAATCTTAATTTCGTCAAGAAATTCGGGCGTAACAATCCAAGGACAGTCCTCGATAACCTCATCAACCCACTTACAGTGTCGCACGGTTTCGGCTCGCTCTTGGCCAGAGAGAACTGTAAGGCCTTTACGTTTGTGGGTCTCCTTGTCACCAGTTACACCCACTATCAAATAAACATCGGGGAAGGCCTTCTTAGCCTGTTCAAGTTGGCGCATGTGCCTGGTATTGTTTTAGCTAACCAAGTATCTTTAGTGTATACCGGTACTGCCTACCCGAGATGAAACAGATCAAAGACACCGTCTGCATAGACACGGACTGGACGTCCGCTTGGTGGTGGGCTGGTGGTGTATCCGAGAGGGTGTATTAGCTGGCCGAGTGGCGGAGGCGCCATACATTGAGTTCTTTCCTCATCTTTTGATGAACACTTCCGTCCTTTTCTTCCTACTCTGTCTGCAATATCCGTACTACATTCAGTTGTATCTGAGGGCTCGCCAGGATCTTGAAGGCTATCAGGGGCCTTAAGCACTTTCTCACGAGTTCCAGGTCGCAAGCGTTTGGCTGGAGGATTGTTTGCCTCTAAATGGGTTCCTTTTTTAAACTGTGGGCCACCAGATTCTGGAGCTGTTGACTCTCCTTCCTCTCCTGACGCATCTCGAGAAGAAGGCTGAAGTTGATCTGCTGTTGGCATTTTGTCAGTTGTAAACATGTCCGAACTGGAAGTTCGTTTTCGCTTTCCCGCACTAGAGACCGCAGATGACTGTGAGGACATCTGATACGGCCGTGCTGGCAGGATTATAAGAACGCTTGAGGTTTTCTCTGATTAGCCACAGTGCCGAGCTAATTGGATGGTGAATCGGGTACCAAGGCTGTCAAAGAAGGGTAGGCAAAGTAGTTACATTTAGCCCGACAAAGTTGTGAGATGAGAAAGCTACTGATTTACGAGGACTTAAACCGATGGCCAATCAAAGAGTCCCTGCGCATATTCAACTCAATTACGTCGAAAGACACGGAGTAATAATGAGTGATCGGCATAAAAACTGCTAGATAACCCTCGTCATTACAACCCACAAGCACTCCACAGCGAATCAAAGAGAACAAGGCTGAGCTACTATTTAAAGAGAGTTCACATTCTAAGCCTTTAAGTCCTCAGAGCCCACAAGTGCCAAGGCTTCTTGTGATACTGTCAAAAAGGTCGTTTTTAATTGAACCCGCCCAATCGCCTTTTGTTTGTTGAATTGATTCATTCAAAGACTATAAACCCAACTTACTACTACTTATCACTGCTTGGCAGTTTCATTTCTCATGGGCCGACAGAAAGAGACATCCTCAGTAATTTTGCTAGGTAATACTAGGTTGCAAGATCAATCTGATAGCCTTTGAAATAATTCACCCTCAACCATGCAAGGAGAATAACTGAGGCTATAGTAACAAGCCGTGCCGAACGATATTTTGTCGTGGATCTATTTGAGGTTTCGTTTCATTTATTTTAGGAACCGAAGCAGGCTATCAGTCCATATCTTACATATGACTGTTTGTGGCACTGATAGGTCCAGCAATGCCTATCACAGTCACCAAATACTTAAAACTTAGTAGACGACTGATAGTCACTTTTTGTTTGTCGTCATGTCTCTTGTTGTATCTTCTAAATCGGGATTTCTGGAGTAGGGATCATATTCAGCAATGTTTGCGTCGGTGAATCTATCGGAGAGATCCATGACCTCATCCATGTTATCAAAGATCTCTGTATCATCGGGATCTGAAAGAATTTCTGAACCATCGCCGAGGAAGATTATTCGGCCAAATCTACCGTCATTAAATTCTGTTTGGTCGTTCATGTCGAAACCATACCCACAAATATCACTGTCCTCAAAGTTGCAATTAATATTAGGACCCCGAGGCTCAGCTAATCAGAAAATTAGCACCGTTTCAGGGAACGGACCATAATACTTACCAAATTCTGGGGGAGCACATGGTCCATCTCCATTTGCGACTCTCGAGGCTATTTCTTCGTACCATTCCTCTTTGCTCTTTCCTTGCAGAATACCGATTATCATTACAGTCATATTATCACAGCCAATTCCGGAGTTATTTGCCATTGAAGAAATACAGTTATTCATAATATTCTCACAAATATCCGAGAGTTCTTGTTTAGCGGCGATTCCACGACGTACAAACTCAACAACCTCCTGTGATGATCGACAATCCCATATACCTATATCACTCAGTATTAGCAAACCGCCTGACGGGAGTATTAGTTCTGACGCACCATCGCAAGCAATGACTAAAAATTCATCATTACTAGATATATCATGTATAATTACATCTGGTAAGGCGATGACAATTTGTTGCTCAGGGGCGAGCTCCGCGCTCTGCTTGAATGCAAAATCGCCGATGGCTCTTGATAAGGCTAGATTTCTGTTGATTCGCCCGAATTCAACTTGGCCTCCAGCTGCAACTATACGAGCTTTTTCTCCTGTGAAATCTTAGTATGAATATTGAGATAATATCAAACCTCCTTACCTTCGTTCTGGGGCTTATGATCAAACGACAAGGGTTTGGCTCTTCCCTTTATCCCAAGTACGCCTCTTGAATCACCAGCGTTTGCCTAGTAAGATCAGGATTTGCTTAAAAAACAAGTCAGATTAAGCGTACCACGTAAATCTTACTGGAAGATATTATACCGGCAATAACGGTACACCCTGAAATATCATTTTTGAATTCTGGGTCTATTTTAACTGAGTTAGTTTCGTTTCTTCCGCAAAAGTTTTTTAATTCTGACCATCCAAAAGCGCCCTATCTGTCGCAAGGAATCCATCTTTCAGTGCCTGTTCTATATCGCCTTTCTCGAACGTTTCCTGTCTAGCGACGATCCGATGTATGTTGTCTCCTGTAAATTGAGATACCTTGTTTCCTCCATGACCATCATAAACCCCAAAGAAAGATAATCTTGATTGGACATCAGAAGTCTTGCCGTTATTATTGTATGCCTCTTCATGTTGCAAGTCTAGTATGGCAGAGTGTGCGTCTTCCATGGTTAATCTCCATCCTTGCATTGAAGAAACTCCATAAATCAATCGATCGTCACCTCCACTGGCAGAATTCTGTGTTGTGAAATGAAGGAATCAGCATTTTTCTTCAAATATAAATCGAGTGTAATACAAGACGGTGGACTGTTCTTAGAAAATGAGGTTCTTGATTCCTCAATATTTACTCTGCCGTGGACTTCAAACTAGCATATTCCCTGAAGCTAGACCAGTGATTAGGTAGAAAGAGCTTAGCTTATTAGCCATTTCAAGGCGGTCGATGGAATAAAAGAAAGTGCCCTTTGGAAGTTTCCTGAGGAACATAGCTCCTGTTAGGCGGGAGTAAAAACTTTGGCGGCCAGATATGTTGACTAAGCCTCATGATAAATTTCAGAACATACCTTTTCAGTTACGGGATTCGAAAGCATTTGCCCCATTTTAATCTCTGTTCTAGAATCTCCGATAAGACTTCTCTGGAGATGAGTGCTTCAAACTTCTTTTCAGATGTCGACTGCAGAGTTGCGGGGTTGTTGTGTTGTGGGGAATGAACAACACGGACGACTAGTTAGAGGTTTCTCTTCATTAAGGGCCTACGGGCAATGTATATTGTATGTCGTGGGTGGTATCAAATATCTTAGATATGCAAATGTAATCACCGGTCTGAATAGGATACCAGCGATTAAGAGAAGTGAAGGAGCAGCCAGTTTCGCCAAATTGACGCTAGCGAGTTAAAAACTTAAGTTCTATGAGTACTATCTGAAAGTTTAAATGAATATATCATAACAATCTTGGGTGCGACGTCTTGTTCACGTGATATACTAGCCTCAGTTCATTCCACATTCGTAAAGACAATATTGCTCATTATGAGAGGTATGTTTGTCATTTGAATTGGTGTTATCAGGTTTCTTGTTCAAGGCTGAACAAACAAGGCTGAGACAAATATAAAATGCGTGGGGAACTAGAGGGGTTGAGCGATTGAAGAGATTAAAATAACGTCATCAGAATAATCCTTGTTTCCGTCAATCGGGAGAAATGATGAGCTCAACCAATCCGGCACTTCGGAAATACCAAGGCCTAACAGAGGGATATAAACTAAGCACCTCTCGACTGTTCTCTATAGATCCACAATTTGAATGTCGCTAAACACAATTTTTCGGCCCACGAGGGAATGGTTTTAGGCTCTCTGCCATTTCAAATTCCCATTCCCAAAAAGATAATTTACGTTTCAAGCATCATCCAGTCTACACGTACGGCCCAGCATACCCTCACTTCTTTGATCACTTCTCTCTTCGACTAGGTCTTTGGCCTGGACTCACATCCAAGTATACGCCCTCGATAATATGAATACCCGCCAGAGGCGACAAATCTATGAAGTTGATCTTTGGGATGAACGCGAGAGAGATCAGGATAGATGGTCATTATGATGCCAAGAGTGGATATAATCTCATGAGGTGTTCGATTTTAACTTTTGGAAAGGAGCTGTACAAATTGAAGAGCATTGCGCGCGCTAAGCTTTCAACTGTGAGAGTGCTAGTAGCCCTATAGATATAGCATAGATATACTCTCTGCGCAGGTCTCTCAACTAGAGTCTATTTAGCTTGGACACTTATCCCACTTGAAACAGGAGACTGCTGGCTCAAATCCTGCAAGATTTCATTACATCTCTCGCGGTACTCATATAAATGAATGACGAAAGCATGCTTGTAAAACTGAAAAATTTGAGACTTTCCGCTGGTGGGTTATCACTGAAGAGTGTCGTCTGTTCAGTGTAAACAAATACACTTTACGTTGGGATTTCCGGATTTATCCAGAGTATGAGTGTCCTAGGATTCATAATAGGCATGAAAAATTGACACAAAGCGTTGCTTATATGTTAAAGCTACATAGCTATACACATTAAATTATTAATAAAACGGCTTGGTGATGTCTTCCATGAGCCCGAAGTTGAGATTATTCCTCAAGGGCTGTAATTAAGTCACGACTAAGGCTAGATTAAAGAGACTTTAGGGGGACTATTCTCAACACCTGTCAGTGGTGTCCCCTACAAACCTCCAGCTCTCACTGTAGAGTCTGCAGAGCCGAGATTGAGTAACAAAGTCCTCACTTCGATGAGGATTCCCAATCGCTTTCGCCGTCTGTATCGTCTTCATCTCTCAACACATTCCCCTATCACTATTATCATGAAGCTAACCACGATCAGATCAGATGGTAGGGTCGGAGCCCTACTCATCACCAACCCTTGATCATGGAGGAGAAGCCATCCGATGAGTTTCCGGAGCGCACCCAGCACCCGATACGGAGATGGTGGATTGTGTAAATTCGGCCTTGAATGTTACAAAGTAGGGAGATATAGATGTATAAGTGCACCTCATGTGGTCCCGGTGTCTAGGCCTCACCTAGCTGGGACTGTAGGTTTTTTGAGCATTTTCCCACGCAAGCAGTTCCAATTGCTATCTTTTTTTGGGTAGAAGGCTCTGTGGAAAAGGTGGCTAAATTCCACGGGTGAATACTGAGTTGTATGGTAATCCTTCTCAGGAATTACGTTAGAGAGCTTTGAAGTAACAAAAGGGGACAGGAGCTTTGTACAAGGTGTGGCCTGGGTGAAAGATGAGCCTAAGATGCTAGATAATTATAAACTCGAGTAGCACATTAAACTCACATACAAGAGTAGAAGCGTTTGCCTGTCGGAATTAATTGTAATCGATTCATATTGAAATGTATAACCCACTACTTAGTTCGTGGACTT